GAAAAAAACCAGTGAGGAATTGGCTTGATGTGGGAAAGGAGAGGGAAAAACAGGGAGGAATTGGCTTGATGTGGGAAAGGAGAGGGAAAAACAGGGAGGAATTGGCTTGATGTGGGAAAGGAGAGGGAAAACCAGGGAGGAATTGGCTTGATGTGGGAAAGGAGAGGGAAAAACAGGGAGGAATTGGCATGAGCTGGGAAAGGAGAAGGAAAAAAAAACCCAGGGAGGAATCAGGGACAGTTTGTGGGGTCTCACAGGACTCAGGGACAGTTTGTGGGGTCTCACAGGGATCAGGGACAGTCTGTGGGGTCTCACAGGGATCAGGGACAGTCTGTGGGGTCTCCCAGGAATGAGGGACAGTCTGTGGGGTCTCCCAGGGATCGGGGACAGTCTGTGGGGTCTCCCAGGGATCAGGGACAGTCTGTGGGGTCTCCCAGCAATCAGGGACAGTTTTGGGGTCTCCCAGGGATCAGGGACAGTTTGTGGGGTCTCCCAGGGATCAGGGACAGTCTGTGGGGTCTCCCAGGGATCAAGGACAGTCTGTGGGGTCTCCCAGGGATCAGGGACAGTTTTGGGGTCTCCCAGGACTCAGGGACAGTTTGTGGGGTCTCCCAGGGATCAGGGACAGTCTGTGGGGTCTCAGAGGAATCAGGGACAGTCTGTGGGGTCTCACAGCAATCAGGGACAGTTTTGGGGTCTCCCAGGGATCAGGGACAGCCCCCCCAGCCCCTGCTGGGCTCCCTGTGTTCCCAGGAGCGGCAGATCCAGCTGATCCGGGAGCTGCTCCTGTGTGACTCCTCGGGCAGCCTCCAGCTCAGCGAGGAGCAGAAGTCTGTCCTGGCCTTCCTCAACAGGCCCAAGGTGTCCGTGGGGGGCTCAGGCAGCAAAAGGTAGGAAAAAAACTGCTTTTTTTCCCTCAAATCTCAGGTCTCTGTGCCACCTTCCACTCCCTTCCCAACAGCTTTCCTGCTTTCCTTCTCCTGCCAGTTTGAAACAGGACTCCTGGGAGTCACTGGGGTTGTTCTGGCACTGAAAGCCCAACTGATCCCAATTTCCTCCCGATTCCTGTGGGTTTTTTTTCCAGGCTGTCCACCATAGATGAGTCTGGCTCCATCCTGTCGGACATCAGCTTCGACAGGACCGAGGACTCGCTGGTAACGTCACCCCAGTCCTGAACTTCTCCTCCTCCTCCTCCCCTGGAGGCAGGGGGTTCTTCTCCAGAGCCCCCCTGTGTTGAGATCCCTGGTTTGCGTTTCTGAAAGCCCTGGAGAGTGGTGGTTTTGTGGGATTTGTGTGGGATTTACCCTCTGTGTCCCCCCCAGGACTGGGATTCCTCCGTGGTCAAAGCTGTCAGGCTGAAGAGGAGGGAGAAGAGGGTGAGTTTGTTCACCCCGGCAGCCACAAGTGCCACCATCTGCCACCTCAGTTCCTCTCTTTCTGGGGGTGTGGAGCTTGTTGCCTTATTTTTTTTTTTTTCTTACCTTGGGTTTCTTTTATTTTTCCCCGAGTTGAATTATAAAGCCGGGCTGGGAAAATCACTTTAAAAAATCAGCGTTTTTGAGGCCTCCTGATCCCTCCTGGCAGCTGCAGGGTTGCCACGAGGAGGAAGTGCTGCTGAAGGACCTGTCAGCACACACCACGGGGTCATTAACTGTTCACTCCTAATTACCCTGGACCAGTAGAACACCAGTAGAACACCAGTATAACAAACACCAGTATAACAAACCCCAGTAGAACAAACCCCAGTAGAAGAAACAAACCCCAGTAGAAGAAACAAACCCCAGTAGAAGAAACAAACCCCAGTAGAAGAAACAAACCCCAGTAGAAGAAACAAACC